CCCAGCTCAAGGTGGTGCTGGTTTAACTTCGGTGCAAGGTATATTTCCTTGTATCTGGTTACCTTTTCCTCACTAATACTTATCTATTCTCACTTTGAAGTTTCATTCAATACTTCTTAGTTAACCATGTTGAAAACATGTCCTTTTCTACAGTATTGATTGAGTATACGAATATAGAACACTAGGATCAGCCAATTGTACCGCGCGAACCTTGTCACTTTTTAATTCGCCTACAATTCACTGAGCACGTGGAAACTAGTGGGAGAACCGTATAATGCGTTTATTTTTTTATTTTATCCTGACATGTTGCCAAATTCCAAATTTTCACTTTTCATTCATCAGCGAAAGAGAAACCCTGACCCAGTTTTGACCATTCTCCGCATTGAAAAAAAAAAACAACAGTGATAGAAAGAAACTTTTATTCAAAAAAAAAAATACAAATTAAAGAGATCACATGTTGAACAATGCCGGAACCAGGTCCCTGAGATCCAAACTGTTCTCTCCACGTTGAGCAGCGAAATCCTCCAAAACGGCCTGGAACTCCTGTACTGCTTTCGTGACATAGGCCTCCAGACCTTCACTGGTGTCGGGCAGCCTCCATCTTTCGAGTTCATCTTTAATATCGTGGAAACGAGCCACGTGGATCACAGGAGCAGCAACTTTTTCCAACTGCTTTAGAATTTCTACCATTTCGGAGAAACTCTCAACGAAATGGTGACGGCACCCAATGGCCGCTTCTATTTGGTCATCAATCACCTGGGCTAAATAGCCTAACCTCAGATGGACTTTGAACTCGATGTATCGTGAATCCACCATGATGAGACGAGTCTCATCCGGATAACAACGATCATCGGAATAATAATCAGTCATTTTTTTTGTCGGAATACGAATTAATCGAGAATGATTCTGCAACATGTTCAAACGCATATTTATACCACCTTCTCCACAAACACCAGTTTCGTTGAACAATAGAGATTAAGTTTTAAACTAAAAAAATATGAAAAAAAAAAAAAAAAAAAAAAAAACCCCTTCTCGAGAACATCAAACTTGATAAAGCCAGTACAACAACACTGAATTGTTTTTTTTTAAATT